GAGAGGTAGGAGGAGAACCACTGCAAAACAGTGCCTCCCACCCCCACCTCCCGCAGACGTCGCAGAAGGATACCATGGTCGATTTAACCAATTCTGACTGCTGATTGTTTCAATAATGTTCAATAAGCTTTTGCAGACTAAGTGATCCTTTTACAAGTGTACTTTAAGGCTGAAAGAGATTAAAGCTGGAAGAATAACAACTTTTAGAAGTCAGAAACACAAAAAACGTGTTGCCTACGTAGATAATTTTACTGATGACTTTGATTTGGGATTGTTCTGTTAAACTTATCCCAGATTTGGAGTCAAAGGTAATGCTAACTAAAAATGAGATGGCATTCTCATGGCCACGCTTAGAAAAAGGGCATTGGTACTTAGGTACTTACCTGATACGCCTCTTCTAATAGGATGGAGATAGCATCCATGCATGGGTTGACATTGTCCGCCTTCTGATTGGACTGAGTCTGATTAAAGTCAGTTAAGACACGCCCTTTGTTGCTAGCCTTACCCAGCTTTTCGGCGAAGAAGAACTTAGAAAGACTCAACGTGTCATCGAACAAACAGTTTAGTAAACCAACTCCTTATGCAGAAAACGCGAATCACAGTATTTACAATAACACAGTAAATGCAGAGCCCTGTTTATAACTCATAATATGGAAGACATAACCATGCAGTACATACCGAACATAACTCAGATCAGTCAGTGAAGGGAGGGGATGGAAGCTATCTCCACCCTATTAGAAGAGGCGTATCAGGTAAGTACCAACACCCTTTCTCAATAAGGGTCGAGATAGCATCCATGCATGGGACATACCCAAGCCCAATTGTCCCTAAGGGAGGGAACCAGACTGTTTGGAACAGGTACAGTAGAATGAACAGCTCGTAAGACCGCCTCTGCAGATGCAAATTTATCAATCTTATAGTTGGTAATGAAGGGGGAAGGGGAAGCCCAAGTGACCACCCGGTAGATCTCCTCGAGAGAAGCCTGGGTGACCCAAGCTGCTGCAGTAGCCGCGCTTCTTGTAGAGTGTGCTGTTATACCTACAGGTACTGGCTGATGTTGAGAAGTGTATGTCTTGGCTATGCAACTGCAGAGCTACCTGCCAATGGCCGAGGCAGTCACTTTCCTACCTAGGGTTTCAGATTGAAAGGAGACAAACAATGCCTCCAACCTCCTAAAGTCATATGTGTGACTGATGTAGACCTTGAGGGCCCATCGCACATCCAGCTTGTGACACCATCTCTCTAAGGGGTCCTCAGGTGAGGGGCAGAAGTTGGACAAAACTACTTCCTGTGTCCTATGGAACCAGGAGGAGACCTTTGGCGTAAAGGAAGGATCGAGCTGAAGCACCACTCTTGTCAGTATGGAAGATGCAATGATCTCCCTCACCGACAGAGCCTGCAGCTCCGAGATCCTCCTAGCAGAGATGATGGCCACCAGGAAGACCACCTTCCACGTGAGGAACTGCAGTTCCACAGAGCGGATAGGTTAAAAGGGGGCTCCTGTTAGGGCTGACAAAACTGTGGATAAATCCCACGTGGGATAGTGGTGAACCACGGGTGGTCTCAGGTTTATCGACCCTTTTAGGAACCTCCTTACCGCCGGGTGGTGGGATAAAGGCTGTACCCCTCCCCAAATCAGAATCATGGCAGAGCGGCTACCTGCCGTCTCAGCGTATTGGGCAATAACCCTTTCTCCAGCCCATCTTGGAGAAACTCTAATACCTGGGGTACAGAGCAGTTGGGGAATGAATTGTCTTGGTGTCGCACCATTTGCAGAAAATACACCTTGTAGCATTATATATGCGGACCATGGAAGGCCGCCTGACGGCTTGGATCGTGCCAATGACCCTGGAGAAGAAATTGTCCTCCCTCAGAGTCCCACTCAAGCGCCAGGCGGTCAGCTGGAGCCATTGAGGGTCCAGATGCTCCAGCGAGCCCTGGCTGAGGGTCCTTGCGGCCTGAGGGATCCTCCAGGGGCTGTCCACCGACAAGGTCTGAAAGTCGGCAAATCACAGCCGTCGTGGCCAATGAGGGGCCACCAGGATCACCTCAGTTCGTTCGGTGATTACCTTGCGCAACACCCGAGGGGTCAGGGACGGGGGGGAAAGGTGTAAAGAAGCCCTGGGGGCCATTGCCACTGGTGAGCATCCGTCCCCTCTGTCCCGTGTCAAGAACCTTGCGTAAAAGTGGGGAAGCTGTGTGTTGTCTGGGGTGGCGAACAGGTCCACAACTGGTGAGCTGAAGCGGACTGAGATCTGTTGGAAGAGGCCCGGATGGAGTCGCCACTCTGCATTGTCCATTTTGGCCCGGCTGAGCCAGTCGGCCCGAACATTCAACACCCCCGAGATGTGTTCGGCAGTCAATGAAGCCAAGTGCCTCTCCGTCCAGAGACCCAGTTCCTTGGCTTCTTTCATGAGTCTTGGACTTTGTGCCACCTTGACGATTTACATGTTTTTGGTGGCCATGTTGTCCGTCAAAACCAGCACATGCTGTCTGGTGTCGAGGAACCTCTGAAGGGCCAGGTGGATGGCTCCGAGTTCCAACCAGTTTATGTTATGAGCCCTGTCCACCTGGTCCCATTGTCCCTGGGCCATTTACGCCTGGAGATGGGCCACCCAGCCATAAAGGCTGGCGTCCGTGGTGACAGTCACCCTGTGAATCACCCTGAAGTGGCATCCCTTGGTTATGGCAGTCGACTTCCACCAACGGAGAGATCAGAGGACATCCGCCGGAACTGTGACCTTCAGCAGTGATGTATTCCTGAGAGCCTTCTGGAAGGGTAAGATAAACCACTGAATGTCCCTAGTGTGTAAGCATGCCCAAGACATGATGTTAATAGCTGATACTAGTTTCCCCAGCAAACGGGATAAAGTGGCTAAGGAGACCCTATGGTGACTCAAAACCTCCCCAACCAGCTGTTTAATGCTCGCTTGCCTATCACCCGATAGGAAGACCTGTCCAGAGATCGAATCAATCCATGCCCCTAGGTGCAAGATCCTAGTGGAGGGCTTGAGATGGCTTTTGTTCCTATTTTGTTCCTTGGCCTTGGTCAGCAATGTTTTGAAGTGGGCTGGCTGGAACAGGCCCAAGAAAGATGGTTTTTCTGGGACGGCCTCCTCATCCCAAGAAAACTGCACGTCCTTAATCTCCCCATCCTCAGAGACAGGAGACTGGCTACGATGAGATCTAGCTGGTGGCAAGGGCTTCTGGACTGCTGGAACCGGCAATGTAGTAGAGTTAGCCACAGGAGGCGCTGGCACATTAGCCATCAGGGGCACTGGGGGTGTCGCCCTAGCACCCTGGGAGACCTGCAGCTATGCACTGGGCGATGGCGGAGGCTATGACTTCCTGTACATTGAGCACTGTCAGGGAAGGCCCTGTCAGGTCCGGGAGGAGCCCTGGAGTTGTTGGGGTGAATGTAGCCTCAGCAGGCCTTTTGACCACAGTCCCAAATTGCACATCATGCAACAGCTGTCCTTTCAGATCAGAGCCTGACCCCAACAGACCAGAGATGTTTATTGGAAAAAGAGGGCTGAAAGGACCAGGGGTGTGTTCCAAATGAACAGGAGAGGGCTGGACAGATTTAAGGCTGCTGGCCTGTGACACTTTATCCCCTTTTGAGGACAAAGAAGAATGCCTACGAGAAGCGGCCTTGGAACGTTTTTGCTCAAGTGTCTTATCACTGCCTGTGTCAGGCCGAGAGGCTGATTTAGAAGTCTTTTTGCCTTTAGAATGGGCCTTGACCTTGTCAGAGTTCTTATGCCCCTTGGGATCAGCCACAGCCCAGGAAGTGGAAGCCGCCACCGTGATTAGAAGCCCCTGGCTCACAGCCCCCTCAGCAGTCAGGATAGCAGCCGATGCATCTGCCATCTTAAAATGGTGGTTGAGAGTCAAAATGGCGGTTTGCGCCTTTTCTAAACCGCTGTTAGAGGCCCGCACTGCGTATGGTCGTCCCTGGGGCAGAACGCGGCTAGGAAAGAGGCCTGGGCAAATTTGAGCGCTCACCCTCCCTCTCAGCACGATCGTGTCGCGCGCTGCTTCTGTGCCTCTCAAAGTTGTCCAAAAACGCTGCTAAAGAGACCTGACTCAGCCGAGTCAAAGGGCCAGCTCAGGCAGCTGCACAGCTCCACTCCCTCAGCAGAGGATCCAGCCGGCTCACGGATGGCGCAGCAGCAATTTAACAGCCGCGCATCTCAAACTACAGCTGATGCCTGAGACGGCATGGCAACAATCTGACAGCCGCGCCTCTCTCCTCTCGGTCCTTACAGGTCGGGAAGCCTTGACGACCACAACAAAGCAACGCTGACATTGCGGCAAGCTGCGCGGCACTTCAAAGGCCTCAAACACTCTGGAGCTGTCAGTTAACTCGCTGAAGAGACCTGCGGCTGATCTTTGCCAATGGAGATAAGCAGGGATCCGAGACACCTATAGTACCCTTCCCAAGAGCGCTGCACTCTCTCCCGCCTTGACAGAGGCTCTGGGCAAGCAGATGGCCCACAGGGCAAGCTCTAGGGCCCAGGCCCTCACGCTCCATCCCAGATGACAGCTCAGACTAAAGTCTAGTCCTGGCACAAGGTTGGAACAAATGCCAGTAATTTATGAAATTAGATAGAATACCAATTAGCTTAGGAGATAAGCAATAAGGGTAAGGCTCACAACAAAGGGCGTGTCTTAACTAACTTTAGTCAGACTCAGTCTAATCAGAAGGCAGACAATGTCAACCCACGCATGGATGCTATCTCCACCCCTACTGAGAAAAAAGAAGTTTATTTATGAAGGGCTAAACTAGAGTTGTTAAGCAGTGCTTGTCCATACCAGGCTTCTGGTAGAGCCGAGGTGGCGCAGTGGTTAAATGCAGCACCGCAGGCTACTTCAGCTGACTACAGTTCTGCAGTTCAAATCTTACCGGCTCAGGGTTGACTCAGCCTTCCATCCTTCCGAGGTGGGTAAAATGAGGACCCCGATTGTTGTTGGGGGCAATATGCTGACTCTGTAAACGGCTTAGAGAGGGCTGAAAGCCCTATGAAGCAGTATATAAGTCTAACTGCTATTGCTATTGCTATTCTGCATCTCATGAGTCATGACCTGTTACTAATAAGTTGATGAGGCAGTGGAGGAATGAAAGGCTGTGCAAAACTTACTCATTTAGACGAAATAGTAAAAAAAGAATAACGATTCAGATAATCTAGAATAGATCCATGTTAGACCATGTGAACTAGTTCCTGCTAGGCTACTAAATCAGAGTGCACAAGGACTGTGGAACAAAAGGTTCGTTAGAGCAAGTACTCACATTTTCATGCTTCATGTGCTTCAGAAGACGCAGTTCCCGATAGGCTCTTTTGGCAAAAAGCTCTGATTGAAATGGGCGGTACAACTTCTTGATAGCCACCTTGCTTCCACTTTTCTGGTCAATAGCTGAACTTAACAGAGACAGAAAGAGTTGAATTAGATGTAAATAGAGAAGACGTGTGGACCTGTCAAGCCAAAATAGCTACTGTATTAATCATCTAAGGTGGAAAGATTCAGCTCCTATCTTTAATTGTTCTACAAGGATGTATATGAATGAATAAGAATGGTTGTTCAAATGAGGTTACCTCTGCCCTGTTCTCCTTCTAAGTGTGGCAAGAAGTCTGCTTATGTTGGGAAAATTCTTCACTGACTGGAGGCTCACTCCTAGCACCACCAACACAGTAACTACATGCTTCTTCCTTAATAGCAAACTAGTCTGCTTATTTATAAGTTTGTCAGCTTGAGAGGTGTATTGTAACAAGAAATCTGCTCAAGTAGTATCGTTTCTCTAACTGGCACTGACACCTATTTTCAATCACCTTCCATCACCTCCTTTTAAGAGGAGCCAGAGAACTTCTGCATGAGAGACAGATACTTTATCAAAGAATTAAGAACTCACCTCAGCACAGTATAATTACTTAAGATTATGTTCCACGTAAGAGAGAGAGAAGCAAGAGCGAACTGTGTATGTATGTGTGTAAGATAGAACAACAACATAATGTATTATTTACAGGGGGTCATATGCCACTCCAATCCAAAAGATTGAAGCAACTTAGATTCACCTCTACAATAACTAAACACCTGAGGAACAACCAAACATAACAAGAGGGGTTACACCATCCTCTTCCACGGCCATGCTCTGATGTGTTCTGAAAAGCCAATGGAATTTAAGGCAGTTAAAACTTGAAGGAGTTCCAAAGCACAGGCAACATGGTCCCTGGGGATGATATTCCTTAGGGGGCTGGGGATACTCTTTATATGGGTCTTATTGGACAGGAAGAAGCCACTGGGAGAAAATCCAGGTCCTAAGCCATGTAGGGTATTAACGGTAAATACCTCGACTTGCACTCAGAAGGAAAGAAAACTTGCACTTGAGAAGGAAACACTTCCCAAAAGATGTGTTACATGAGAGACTCTAGATCAGCGATGGTGAACCTTTTGGGAACTGAGTGCTCAAACTGGAATGTGTGTGCATGCGCATGAGCTAGAGCACCGGAAACTCAAAGACTAGCTGGCTGGTGCACATATGTGCACATGTTTTTTGGCTGTTTATGGACAGTTTTGGGGCCATTATTCGGGCTGTTTTCAGGCCGGGTTTTTGGGCCATTTTCAGACCATTTTTTGTTTTTTTGCCAGAGTGCTAAAAACAGCCTGAATATGGCCTGAAAAATGGCCAAAAACGCCCAGAAAAGGGCCTGTTCTAGCACTCCGGTGGTCGGCATGCATATGCACGCCAGAAACAAGAAGAGCAACTGCTGACAGCGTGCATGCCCACAGAGAGGGCTCTGTGTACCATATCTGGCACCCATGCCATAGGTTTGCCATCACAGCTCTAGATGTTATCATCATTACTGAAACTATGTTCTGGACCAGCTGAAGCTACCAAGGTGGTTTCAAGGACGTCCCACATAAGGTATACCGCATTAATTCAAACAGGTATGAGGAAGGTGTCAGTGACTGTAATCAGGACCTTCTGATCCACCCAGACTGAAGCTAATGCACCAGATACAACCATGCAGGAGTCCATGCAACCTCAATAGTTGCCTGTTTTTTAAGGAGTTCGAAAACATTTTCAGAAGGATAAGACTCTTTGTAGCTTATAAGACTTGTATATATTGAAAAGTATGGGTTTCTGACGCTGCAGGTAGCTACCTCAATTTTGCTTATTTAGATTCAACTAGATGGGCCTAATGTTCTTGTCCATAGCAGGATTTGGCCTGGAGGAATTGAGAGATGCAATGACTGCCTATATATAAAGAATAAAAAGAATCACATCTATCACAAGTGTTCTTTAGAAATTCAAATTCTATACCCCAAGACATAACATGTCCAGCAAGGTGGAGAGTTTGGTAAATCCAGTAAATATAGGTAATATTTAGTACTTGCACCCATTTATTCCAGAATACCATGTGGTATTCTGCCCAATGTATCAATAACTACAGGAATGATAATTTCACACTTTTTTCATAATTACTCATTTTAATTGTTTAAACTCAGTATTTTGTATTTTTCCTTATATGTTATCAATATTGCAAAAATTGCTCTTTTCAATTATTGCTATTATGCCACACAGCTTCACATTGCTCAATTTTATTTCTTTTGACTTAGAATATATACTGGAAACTGGAAAGTTTAAAGGAGCCAAATATTTTTCCCAGTTAATCCCATTCAGAATACATTTTTCCACATAGATTCACTTCCATTTAGTTTACCCAATGAATAAATTGCACACAATGAGTCAGAGATATATCCACCTGGCCAGATAATAAGGCTACCCCGAAAGGAAAAATCTGGACAGGCTCCAGAGTAATTGAAGACTGAATTCAAGATTCCAGGATTTTATTTTCCAAAATCTGTCAGAATTATAACTGGTCACAGAAGTACAGTTTTGTCAATGCATTCAAATTGCCAACCATCCTCAGGGCACATGCCAGAGGAAGTAAAACATCATTTTTTCCTATTTCCATTTGAGATCTGGCATCAAAAGAAGAAAAGAAACCAGTAATTGATGGAAATAATAGAATGAACCATTAAAAGGGAAGGGAAATCAAGAAGGGACAGGATGTAATGTGATGTAATAGACACACTTCATAGTGTTTTGGGCAGTAATATAGAAGCAGTTTTCAATTTTCCAAGTTGCTTTTTCAACTTCCCAGTCTACCCTATAGCTATAGAATCTCCTGGTGGTCTCCCATCCATAAAAACAAGTCCAATTTGGTTTTTTTTAATCAGATCCTCTTAGGTTGGCTAGATGTTGGCTATAAATTATTGGAATTGGGTTTCCAAGAGAAAATTGTCTTTCTGTTTATTTGGCTTTTGTTTTTAATTACTCCCAACAAGATATTCAGAATAATAGAATTGGAAGGGACCTTGAAGGTCTTCTAGTATAGAATGGTATAGGATTTTCTACCTTACTCAGCTAGGAAATCCTATACCATTTCAGACAAATGGTTATCCAAGCTCTTCTTAAGAACTTTCAATGGTGGCGCACCCACAACTTCTGGAGGCAAGTTGTTCGACTGATTAATTGTTCTGTCAGTTAATTTCTCCTTAGTTCTAGGTTCTCTCCTTGATTAATTCATTGCAAAGATGTTAAAAGGCTGAGTCATTTCCAGTTAGTAAAAATGGCATGTATTGCAAAAATATTTTGGGGTGGATGGGTGGTGGTAAACATTTCCCTTTACAAAGACCAGCCACATTTTTGCTGTTGTTGCAAAATTATAATTTACTGCCCAAGGTTGTTTCAGATTTCCCCTTCAGTAACTGTTCTCTCTCCTCCCTCCGCATTTTCTATACAACATAGTAAAAAGAGCAGAATTAATTCATCCTTCAAAGCCATCCGAAGAGTCCTGCTAACACCACCCACTGGTTCTGGGTTCACTTTCAATGCACAAAGGAGCGTGTGCTGCATCCACACGACACGTTGTTAAAAACCTCTCCATCTGCACGCTAACTTGATTAACGATACTGTTAACTGTTGATTATTGGAGTCTTTTTTCGTGTCTCCGCGCGTTAAGAATCATAGAATCACAGAGTTGGAAGGGACCACGGAGGTCATCTAGTCCGACCCCCGGTTCAAGCAGGAGATCCTTACAGAACGACCCCGGCTGATGCAAAGTGAGAGAAACCCAAAGAAAACGGATCCCCCTAAGTACCCCAGATCCAGCATACGTGTGAATAGGTCCGACCGCAGCTCTGCGGGAGAAAATGCGCTAAGGTTGGCGTTTCGCGAGCCCGCCTCTGGTTACCGGCTGCCGGGGAACGGCCTAATGATGTGCGTGTGTGCGAAGAGGCTATTGTTCCCTTGCTGGACGGCGCCGGACTTAAGGCCCGGCAGCAGCGCAGCGCCTCCTTCGGGGCTCTTTGCCTTTGCCCGCAAACCCAGGGGCGCCCGGTGTGCCTTGGCGACCACTTACCAGACGGCGCCGTAGGCTCCGGAGCCCACCGCCTGCAGCTCTCGGTAGCGCTCCCTCACTTCCCAGACGGTCTTGGTGATCTCCTGGCGGTAGAAGCCTTTCCTGGGGGCGGTCATCGCGGCCTCTCCCTCTTCCTCAGAGTGCCCACACAGGAGAGGGGATGTGGGGGGGGGAACCCTGCGAGGAGCGTCAGCCGGGGAAAAAAAAAGAGGGCGGCGGGCTCTTTGGACCCGCAGCTAATGCCTGGCGCGCGCAGGGCGGTTTGTGCGGCGGCAGCGCGCGCGCGCGCGCGCGTTTCCTCTTGCGGGGGTCTACGGAACTGGGTCCCCCCCCCCCACTTGCTTGCTCCTATTCGCTTTCCCCGCGTGGAAGAGGAGAGCCGCGCGACGGTCCCTTGACTACGCCAAAAGGCCACGTGCGCGCCGCTCTCTCCGCCCTTCCTTCCGCGCTCATTTGTGGGGGTGGGGGTGGGTGGGTGAGGACGAGAGAACCCCCGCGGGATGGACGGGGATGGGCCCACTTTCTGGCTCTCGCCTGCCCGTTGTTAGAAAATGCCGCCTTGGGTTTGCCAAGTTTCAGCAAGGAGGTCTATGGTGGGGAAAGCAGCTGGTTGGAAAAGAATGGAACAAAAATGAGGTTTTATGGCGGGCGGGGCCGCCTTGGGATTCTCTCTCTCTCTCTAGCTGCTGAAAACGGAAGACGTTATTTCTTCATGATTAACTGCCTTTGATGTCCTAACATAGGCATATCCCGATTAAAAAAAACCCAGAAAAGTGCTCCGAAACACACCCTGGCCATAGATACGGTCTCCCCAGATTACTCGCTCTCAGCCTCCCCTCTAGTCTTCCTGTCCTAAGTATTTCCATTTCTAGGTTTATCAGATTTTCAAGATTGCAATCTGCAGGCTAGTTAGTGCAAGTAAAGCTGGCAGCAGGGAAGTTAGTGCAATTCAGTTTCCCCCTTTGTGCCGCATGCCAAGGCCCATGAACTATAAAACCATATCCTCCTTTTGTGGGTTGGTGCAACCCCGTTCTAGAGGGCTTGTAAACTGAATGCCATGCAAAGCCAAATAGGGGAGAAACATGTGTTGGATATGTTTGCCACATTGAGTTATTTGTAAAAATAATAAAGGTGGGATACAAATACATAAATAAATCCCAATCAAAGCAGGACATACGATGAACCTAATTTCTAATTTGCAGGAACCTCCTTGGATGAGATCCCTTCAGTTCTGTCCACCACCATATTTAACTGGAATGAAGCAGGTTGATGTACAGTAACATATTGTGCAATTGTATAAATTAAGTCAGCAGTAAATTTAGATTTGTTCATAAACTGCCCTGGGATTATCTAAACCTCAACCAGCCCGTTATGTTATCTAAAACCAAAATAAAGATGGCAAAGTTGATTTTGTGTCATTCAAGCAGCCACATAGATTTTTCTCTGTGATGATCTGCCCTAACTTGGTCCTGCAACTTTCCCAATGTTGCATTCCTCACTGTTGTAGCTGAGCCTGATTCTATGGCGATCACAGGAGGAAACCTGTATTAGTCTACAGTAGAGGGGGGGGGGGGAACCCGATAGCACTTTTTCTTTCCAACAAATTCAGTTAAAAGGGCATAAGCTTTTGTGAACGGCAGCTTTTTCATCAGAAACAAAGTGCTAGATAGATGTGGGGTGAAGTGGATGATGGTGATGGAGAGGTGTTTATGCAGATAACACCCACTGAGATGGTCTGAAACTTTTTGAAGTATGTGACTTAAGCAATCTCTTGCTTGGTGATGGAATTAAAATGTTAGTTTTCCAAAATAGTCATCTTGAGGTCTGCTGCAGAACGTCCTAGGAAGTTGAAATAATGTTCTGTTCTAAGGATTTGTGATGTGCTATTGCTCTTTTCATAAGGGAGGTTAATTGGAGATTTCTGAGATTACCACAGAAGAGCATGTGGGCAAAAATATGTTCCACCCATAATTGATTTCTTGACTGGGGAATTCAGTTAGACATAATAGCCAAGAGAAAAATCAAGAAGAACAAGGATAGCCAGGGGTGTCTGTAGTATATGGTCAAAAAAGTCAAGATGGCAGCCATGATAGGAGGATTGAAATTTTCACTTTTTAAATGTGCATTGAACTTCAATTGCAACTTTGTGTTTTCCATATCAACTCTTTTGACCATATCCCTAAGGGTATCTAGTAATATAAGACAAATTTAGCATTTGCTAGTTTTCATTTAGTTACAGTTTATCAATCTTGTCTCTACTATCTCTATAAAAAGTTAGGGTATAGATTATAAGTAGAAGATATTTTATTTATTTATTTATTTATTAGACTTATACACCGCTTCATAGGGCTTTCAGCCTTCTCTAAGCGGTTTACAATTTTTTTTTTTTAGCAAATTGAGTCAGCAACTTGCCCCCACAGTCCGGGTCCTCATTTCACCCACCTTGGAAGGATGGAAGGCTGAGTCAACCTTGAGCCGGTGAGATTTGAACTGAGCCGGTG